TAGCACTACCTAGTTCACGTCGGGTAACCGCACAGCGATGTCGCCTGACTGTGTAATGTATCGTACCCAAGGTAGCGACGGGTATTGCAACTGCGCGCATGTTAGCCAATGCCCGTTCGATCGTGATAGTTTGTCCTTACCTTTGGCTCGATGATCTTCAGATACCGCACTTGAATACCTGATGTGGTAAAGTAAGGAATCTCGAACTTGACGTTGATGGGCCTCTTGGCCTTTCCGCCGCCAACACCACCCATGCTACCACCGAAGCCTCCCATCATACCGCCACCCTTCTCGTCATCACCGCGCACCGATGGCAGACCAAGTTCAGCGCGCATGAGGAACTCCTTGCCACCACCAAATTGCTTGATCTTCCACACTATGGAGGATGTCTCAGGCGCGTAGTGTACGGTGCCTATGTTTGTTCGGAAGCGAGGGGTGTCTGCGTCTTCGGGGACCGGAATCGAGATCTGGACGTTATTGGCGGTGCTTCGTCGCTTAAACTGTGCTCGTGCCTGCGAAATGTTAGCTTGTTACACCCCGTTGTCCAGAGATCTGCCTACCTTCAGCATGTACTCGATCCTGCTGCCCGAATGGCTCTCGACTATGCACTCTACCCAGATAAGGGGCTTGACTTGTGTGTTCAGACGGTAGCTCATCAGCTCAAACTCGCCATCTGGTGGAATGAAGCTGATGGTCCTGTCGTTCTCGAATCTCGATAATCGCACGCACTGGTGGAATTTGACATCCTCCATCTCAACGGCCTTTCCTCGTGTAGCCCTTCCGGTGGTCTCAAACATGGCTTTGTCGTTCAGACCCAGCCGCAGTTCAGGCATACCCGACAGGTAGCACTTCATCTTGACAGCACCGAGAATCTCCGATCGTAGCACGCTGCCGGTCGCGGAGACGAGAAGGTTGAGCGATTCGATGACATCGAGGAAGACTTCGTTCTTGCGGTATCGGATACCTTCGCTTCGCCAGCTGACGGCGTTTGTGACTGCGATGGGTGGGCGTGCGATTTCGAGCTTGTGCGACTCTTGTGTGATGTATCTGCAAGACTGTTATTAACACACATCCATACTACGGCTGTATAGAATACATACTCTTGCAATATCTTGGTCTCGGTGGTTTGTGGGTAGCCAAAGTCCATCATCTCATCTAGCAGTTCGTAGATAACGACAAAGTTGTCTCTTATGCTCTCTTCTTCGAGCTCCTTGAAGTATTCTGTAAAGACCTCGACGATCTTGTGGAGAAACAGAAGAATCTCGGCCGCATTGGTGTTGCGCTTGGTCAGGGCGAGGAGGTAGAGGTTGTTGTGGCGGATGTAGAGGTAGTTGATGCCTTCGCTGGAGAAGCATGGTGGGACTGCTGAGCTCTCGTCTTCGGCCTCGCTCAGTAAGATGGGAAATTTCTCGACGGCTGACATGGGAATGTCACCGCGGTAGTTGCGCGCCAGAAGGGTCTATGCGATGGTCAATAGGTAGCCCTCCCAGAGGCCTGACCGCCATACCTTGCCCTTCAGGTCGAGAAAAAACACCGCCGACGCCATGGTGAGAGAGTGTGAGTGATGTAAAGAAGAGAAGAAGAAGAATCAGCTATCGGGTCATGGTGCGCAAGGAAAGGGCGATCGAGGGGTATGCGTGCTATGTCCTGGTCGCGTCTCGGTGATGCCAGAGTAATTGCGGCTCTTCCCGCCCGCCAAGACCCCTCAACGCACTAGACCCATACAGTCGCAACGCTGGTACTTATGCCTGGGGCCTTTGATCTTCTCCACTGCACATCGAATCTTAATCCACCTGCAGGTTACATTGAGCCAAAACCTTACAAAGTAGGTGACCTAACGTCAATGTAGGCTCTAGGCTGTTCAGCTCATTCCTTGGTTGGCCTAGAAGCTATACCCCGCATTAGTGAACTCCAGGCAGCACTATGGCCATCCCTCAGGCTCAACGTCTGCTTCGCCATCGGATTACAGCTCCATGCTTTCACAATGTCACTTTGCTATCTTTGCAGCGGCCTGACTTTCTCGAATCTCTACCCCCCGAACTTCTATCGCCATGCCGATGATCTGGCTGCATTGGAAGCGTCGGCCGCAGGCTGTCGTCTCTGTAGGATGCTGCGCGGTGGCATCAACTACCCCGATGATTACTCATTACCGCAACTATATCTTGGAGGCGCCAGTGATCAAGGGGTCCCTTCTCCTGAAGGTAGCAAAGGCTTTAAGGCTTCTGTAAAATTGCAAATCATCCCGGGCACATTGTACCCGTGGCACCCAAAGATGAAGGGCGCTTCATATGTAGGTATCTGGACGGAGCGGAAACAGGCGGTAGCCTGTATGATTTTGTCGGTCGAGGAAGGTACTGAAGCGTGCTGTTCTATCTGCCATTGTCTAATTACCTTCTCTAGGCGACAAGTTGGGCTCAGAGCCCATTCTGCCCGGCAAAGAATACTCCTTCGTTTCCGGTCGTGTTCAACTAAACGACTTGCCTTCCCAGGCGTATTTCGATGTCCTCAAGCGCTGGTTGGCCAACTGTGAGACCAATCACACAAGGTGTCGCAACGATACTCCAAAATTGCCAAAGCGAGTCATATATGTGGCCGAAGAGGGTGAGAGCCCATATCTTGTACGAGGAGAGGGTATATACGCTCGCTATGTGGCTCTGAGTCATTGTTGGGGCCATTCAAGAGAAGGTATGACCACGACCAAGAACCTGGAAGCACATATGCATGCCATAGATTGGGCCGCGCTTCCGAAGACCTTCAAAGACGCCATAATTACTTGCCGTCGGCTTGGTATCAAGTACATATTTATCGACAGGCTGTGTATCATGCAGGATTCGGAAAGCGACTGGGAAGAGCTTTCGGCGCTCATGGGTTCGATCTATCATGATAGCACCGTGACACTGGCAGCATCAGTATCCAACGACTCCTCAACCGGGATCTTTGTCCCGTCGCGTCCATCTAATGACTTCAGGAACGATTTTGTCGCACTGCCGCCATTATTTGGAGACTACAAAGGACAGGCTTTCATCACCGCCCCCACCATCGTCGATGACTGCATGCAGGTACACAGCTCGGCCGATAAACTTGGCTCCACTGTCTTGGACTCCAGAGCATGGGTGATGCAAGAGATGTGCCTGTCTCAAAGGACGATATGCTTCCTTGAACGCGAGGCAATTTGGTGCTGCTGCGAAACATCACAAGATCAGAATGGGCAAGTCATGAGAGCGGAATATAACGTCAGCGTACGGAACAATCTGGGGTTCCTCGCCAGAGCCTTCCAGAGGTCTTGGTACCTTGACGACCCAGAAGAAATAAATTGGAAGACGACGATATGTTCGAAAGACAGCTTCGTATGTGATGTTAACCAAGCGGGTGCTTTGAAAGAGCATACTAGTCTCGTAACGTCAGAGCCACTGCATATTCTGGCCCATGTTACTCAGGACGGAAAGACACATCATGTCCTCGATCTTCGTGCGCCTCTGTATCGCAGTCCTACACCACCGACGCTGATCCGACCAAGCGACGACCGCGCTTTCTACATCTTCCTCATACGTATCATACAGTCTTCCATACACGAACTATGGTACTCCATGGTAGATGCGTACAGCTTTCGCCAGCTTACGTTCCCGTCAGACAAGTTACCAGCCATGGCAGGCATAGCAGCACGCGTACAGGAAATCACACATGATTCCTATCTCGCAGGTCATTGGCGCAGAGAAATGGAGCGCTCGCTGTTCTGGGAAGCTTTCACAAATGATCTCTGCGATCCTCCCGCGAGAGCGGCCAATTATCGAGCGCCTTCCTGGAGCTGGGCAAGCATTGACGGGCGCATCAACTCGCCCTCACATAATTGGACTCGTGGTGGAGCCATTCCTCCACCTATCCAGATACTTGATGCCAGCACTCGAATCGATGGCAATAATCCGTTTGGATCCGTTAGCGACGCGAAACTCGTTGTCAAGGCTCACTGCGTGAAAGCTTTCTGGGATACCGAACGTGCAAAATTCCGGTTGGTGGGATGCTTTAAAACAAACTCACTAGGACTTGTACTAGGTGCAGCCACATTATATTTCTCCTGTTCGGATAGTCTTGACGGTACTTCGGCTGGGTACTGGCGCTACGACGACCGAAAGCATGGTGTTCTACCTGGCCCGCCTCTTGGTCTTTCCCCTTCGGAAGAAGAGTTGGACTCTAGATTGACGTGCCGATTTCCGATGGAGGGTACCACATTTCATGCTTCCACCAATGGCCTTAGGAAACCCCCGGTACCGGAGATTTTCACATATGTTCCGAAGGAACTCACTATCATCAAAGGATGTGCTTGGAAAGACTCAGTAAATTCTTACGTTGAGGTTTTAGTCTTGGCGGCAGTCGAGACCGGGAACGGTGTGTTTAGAAGGGTTGGCAAAGGGACACTGTACAGTTGGGATGAAGAGGCGGAGAGTGTGGAGACTTTGAGCATTGTATGAGCGAACGCTTTCACTGCTTCGTCGATCTGGCTGCTGCGCGATCTTCTTCAAAGTTCCGACTACTCCAGGAGGATGATCGAGGATACCAACCGGAAAACCACATGGACATCCCCTGTACTGTCATTCACTCTGTGTTGCCTGTTTGGCAATGTCTTCTTACGTTGCGCATGCTAGCAGATCTTTCTCACAATGGGCCTCCGACACTACGGCGCACGTTGTAATCTGACAGATTGTCAGAGCAGGCAATGAAATGGCGACAAAAATTTCCACTAGTTCGACCCCACAGCAAACAAATTCCAGGCCGCTTCATTCGAGCGACACGAAGATACCGAAACAAGATGAGCGAAAACCCGATTTCCAGCATTTTCAATCTCGTTCTCACAACAAGACTATATGCTTTTCCACGAGGCCCAATCGAGGAGCAAGAATTTCTGACCGCCGTGTTTCGCGTCCCATTGAAACGACTGGGCTTTCCGTCTCAGCCTATACCATCTCAAACCGGAGTATTTGATACATGGGTCGACCGGGAAATCGATGACGTGGAAGGCGCTACCTGGACAGATGACGATGATTGGAACGCGATATTTCTACGTGACAGCATAGAGGAGCTTTTTGATCAGCTTTATGGAAAAGACAGCCCAGTGTACGCCAACTGGAATGACCACGTCAAGCGTTCAATGGGGAAGGCTCACACCCTGACTCTTCTGGACGCAGCTGCAATCACTCCTCAGTCATATTGGTCTGAGGATATTAGAGCTACAGTGGAAGCATTCACTGCACTTCTTGAAGCCTTCCACAATGTCAAGGGAATTGTCTGGACTGACTACCCATACGACGACGCTCTTGATGGCCGCCTCGGTCGATGCAACGACTACGCCTTCATCCAGCGACTTATATTCAACGAGTGTCGTCTTTACGGAAAGTCGCTAGATGAATACGAAGCCAGCATGCGTCAAATACGGGAGAAATTTGGTATACCAGTGGAATTCGATCTCAACGAAGAACTGCAACGGATTAAGATGGCCTATGACCAGCAACACTACGAAATCGAAGAAAGGTTATCGGAAGCGTCAGAAATGGAACGGGTAGGCCCGATGATTCCTGTCACCGATGTGTCCACAGAGATAGACAACCCGGAAGGTATAGATTGCGTAGTTTGTTGGTCTGACATCTGCCCCTCCGCCGGAGTACTAACTGTTCCTTGCCAACATGCCTATCACAAGGAGTGTCTGGAACGCTGGATCCACGCTGCGCAAGGAGCTAGCCATCTTTGCCCCTACTGTCGCACAGAGTTGTTTCCCGAACCGGAGTATCGGCCCAAGGATGAGGAACGTTTTCGTAACTACGAGCAACAGCTTGACGACTTTGAGGACCAGATGTACTGGCTCTCTTGGATACAGAAGTCGGCGGATTGGTTTGGGGGTGAGCTGGCGATGCAGAGGCGGTATGAGAGCTCAGAGATGAAGAAGTTGGACTTACAGTGGCTTCGAAAGATAGGCGCACTCATTGCTTCGGGTAGTTTGGGGAAGAGATAGCTTCACTCGCGGGGCCTGTGGCGCAGAACTAGGTAATCGGCTGTGATTTTAATATATTGACTGTAGAAGTAACTTCTCGTACAACATAAGATGCACCTGGACTTTGCGAGGTGAAGGATAAGAGGCACGTTCGGCAAAACTGTCCAGGTGATCAGCTGCCACCGATCACCTCAGCATACCATGATGGCTACATAGTCAGCATGATTCATGGTCCTTTCCTGACTTAATTATCTGCACCTGTAGTCGGGCTATTCTTTCACCCCGCGACAGGCACCAGTCACGTGCGGGGTGTGAAAGGGCTGCCCCACTCAGGTCGCTCCATCCTCGTGGTAGAGCAAACACGTGAGGCTGGTACCTTCCACTTCCGAACCCCCCCACTCCATCCCGCTCTCGAGTTATCACGACCGTGGAAATTCCATAGCACTCTCTGCAAGCTTGCGCAATCATGTCCGCCGAAGCTCAAGATTTGGTTCCACCAATAAATCAGGCGCCGGCGAGCGCCGCAGGTACGTAACTCACCTACATGCCCTGCATCGACCCTGAAATTTATTTACGCCGTACCTCTTCATATTGAGATCCTCTGCTAACGATGGCAGTATATCGACGTGTGCGTACACACTTACGTAGCTTACGAGACTTGCGCAAGTTCGGGTACAGGCACAAGAACCCCAAAGACGTACTTGCCATGACATCCGCGGAACTTCGGAAGCTAGAACAACAGCACTTTCCAAGTCCAGCAGATATCTCTCGTCTCACCGGCATGAGCGATGAAGAGACTGAACAACAAGCCGATGCCGCGCGGCGGTGGCTACTGGGTATGCTCGACTGCCATGACAGAACAATGACCCGGGAACACGAGATCAGAATGTTTAGATTCGCTGTGGAGAAGCAGATGGAAGAACGAGAAAAGGACTGGACAGATCTGGAACGACTGTACATGACACTCGCAAACAGCAATCTCGCATCGCCACAGGAGCGATTGCAGGCAGCGTTCGTGACCGTCCTTCACTTTGACTACCCGCAACGCCGGCGAGATGTTGATGAGGTCGCCCAAAAGCTTGACGAGCGTCTGAAGCGGGCTTCCGACATGGACGCTGTGTTAGATGAGACACGCGATATCATAGTCGCCAGAACTGAATTGACCAATGTCGACCATTTCGCGTGCGCCATTCCACTGTCACTACTCACTGTCACAGCAGACAACGCTTCTGTCGTCGATGACAACGCCGGCTGCTGCCCGATCTGCCAACTCTCATACACCTCATTCCAAGATTCCTCTATCCTACAACTACTAGGTGACTATCCAGTGCGTATCAAGCAGTGCGGTCATATCATTGGAAAGTCATGTCTAGAGCAGTGGATGAGAACACCGAAGATCGATGAAGCGAAATACCCACATCGCACATGTCCGTGCTGCCGTGTCAAGATCGAAGGTGTGAAGTCGCCCTCAGTACCTCGCGGGCTACACGATCATTTGAAGACCGATCGACGAGCCATGGAGACAGTAAGAGAGTTGCTCTACGGGTATGATATGGACCTGGAGGAGTGTCTGAGCGCCATCAGCGCGTGCGTGAGCGAAGAGATCGCCTGCGAGGAGTTGGCGGCTGAGCTTGGGCGGAATGACGGAGAGCAAGACGACCAGATACTGAAGGACAAACTTGCAAATCTGGAGAAGGAGAAACGGGCTTGGGGATTTAGGGGGAATGGAATTTGGAAAAGGCTGCGAGACGAATGGATGAACAGCGGTGTCACCCGGAAGGCTTGAGGAGGAGGACCGCCCTTCCTCTGGATGTCGCCGGGAGTCCTTTGGTACTGCTCGGACTTTCGGACTCATGTTCAACAAGAAACACAATACTGTGGGCTCGGACGAAGGCATGCGGATCTCGTGGATATCGGAAAGGGCCGAACGAGCAGCTCGTATCTAGGAGCTCTTGGCTCACGAGGCAGTGCAAGCTGATGAGGCATTTTCTTTCAACCACTTCAGTCTCTCTCGAGTATACTCCATAGTACATCAAGCTTCACGAGGAAAGCTCGCTCAACAGCCAAGCAATGATAGATCGACATACCAAATGTTAAAAACCACGCATCACGAGGGGTAAACTGCCCCGCCGATTGAGAAATATCGCGCACACAGCCCCCGTCGTTCAAGTGTAGCCGCGTTCAACACCAAGTAAGGGCGTGCATGTGCATACACCGGCAACAAGCATCCTCAGCGCGAGGTCCGTTTGCTCATATATAATTCTGGGGCCCGCCGTTCGCGCAGTACAGATCACGACGTCACGTGCCCCACATAATGACCCTTGATTTCTCCACGTTCTCCGTGCTCTAGACCCAGAAGCAGCTACACACTTGCGCATCTCCACGGTCTAGGCTATTGAGGCTGAGTACATAAGCCAATAAACTGTGGCGCGGGCGGACTTCTGATTGGTTCCAGCGTATGTAGGTAGAAAGGGTAGATGACGTCTTGTTTGTGAGGGTCGCGTGTGCCGCCCGCTTATCAACGCAAGCAGCTGTTGCTGGGCAAGGCTTGGCCTATGACGATGTATAATGCGTGTGAAAAACAAACATAGGGAGCCCCGTTCTGTCGCTGCTGCTACTACTACATCCCACGCGAAAAACTCCATTCATTACGACGAAAAACCAAGTATGAGCGTTAACATTATTGACGTTGGTGTCAGCAGGGTGCGTTGTGTGTTCCTTGCATGCTTCTTCCCGCTCTTCTAGATGCCGGTTCTTCCGAGCTGAGACCGAGATCTATCTCTCTTTACTAACGTTGTTCTTCCCCACAGATTCTGGGTGCGAGAGAAGATCAAGAAGACCGTTATGTTACTTTGACGCCGGGTTCAATCAAAGCTCGGAAAGAACTCGCTGTCTTTGCCGTATATGATGGACAGTAAGCAGCGTCACACAAAATCCCAAATGTTGTGGCTTGTAAGCTAACGACTGGGTCGCAGTGGGGGTACAGAAACAGTAAACCATGTTGCAGAGCATCTGCATACACACCTGGAACAGCACATCGCCATCCAAAAGCCGTCCAATGTAGCCGAGTATAAGCACGCGATACAAGGAGCTCTGCTGGCTGTCGACCGCGATCTAGACCACGCCAACCTAGACGGGGGCTCAACCGTGTCTCTCGTTCTCATCGACACAAAGCAGAGCTTGCTCATACAAGCGAACCTAGGAGACAGCCACGTCTTCTTCGCAGACCACGAGCCCCAATCCCCACAATCGCTATCACCCCAGTCCCCCACGCGCGTCGACTCCGGCGTCAGCTCCAGCGGCTGGAACGTCGAAGCCCTCAGCGAAGAACACGCACCCGACAGCCCGCTGGAGAAACGACGAGTAGAAAATGCCGGCGGCGAGATCAACTACCGCTCCGGCATCGCCCGCATCGGCGGCGTGAGCATGTCGCGCGCCCTCGGCGATTTAGACTACAAGAAACCGCGCGTGAACCGCCTAGCAGGCCACGACCTCTCCGACCTCATCGGCGTAGAAACCGGTCTCGCACCAGGAAAAACCGCAGTCCACGACCTCGTCTCCAACAAAGCGCATTTCACCACCCGCACCCTGCACGGCCAGTCGCTCATCCTCCTCGCGTCTGACGGCGTGGGCTCGGCGAAGGAGGCGGAGGAGTGCACACGGCTGGCGGTGGATGCGTGGCAATCTGGAAAGGAAGCCAAGGAGATTGCGGAGGAGTTGACGTCGAGGGAGGGGCAGATGAAGGGCGCGGATAATTGTACTGTGCTTGTTGTTGTGCTGGATACGGAGAGTAAGGGGAGGAGGAGTATAGATAGTGGGAGAAGGAGTATGGATATTGGGATGGAGGGGGGTGGGTCGAGGAGGAGGCGGAGGTCGAGTATTGCTAGCTTGAAGGACTGGATACGGGATCGTTAGGTGACGGTTCGACGGGGCGCGGCTAGGTGGTGTGGGAAGTGGGGAAAAGTTTGGTCGGATTGATGGGGAAGAGGGGTTATGAAGGCTTGATCGGCCTGGTGCGATGCAGCAAAGGCGTTTTGGGTGAGGCGGGTGTACGCCTCATGGTTCTTTTTTTCAACTGATCTATCAATATATCCATATGGCAAAGAGTATGCTAGAGTGTGAATAGTAGCACTCTATGATCACAATTTTTGCTCATAACTCTTGTGTATCTGCAAAGTTCTGTCCGTATCTCAGCCTTCGGGACGTCTTTCTCAGCATTATCGATACCGAGAGTCGAGCAATGAATCACCACCTCAACAACAAGATTTAATCAAAGACTTCATTGTTATCGCTGCATGCCGCGCTAGTGCGCTATTCGCTCAGTCCTTTCAACCATCGCTAGTACGACTAAACGTATCAACTGGTTTCAACTACTACCATGAAAAGCGTTGAACATCGAGGGGGTATATCCATGCATGCCAGGTCAAGCTCCTAAACGCCCAGAATAAGTCTCTGGAATACAACCAGAGCCATCGCTCCCATGTTGGGTATTCAAGGAATCCCATCATTTCAGAGTATTCTCCTTTGAACAAGCCAAGTCTGCGCCACCTAACCCTTCCGTCCCTTTGCCATCTCAATACCTAGCATCAGCGGATCCTCATCAACAGTCCAAGTCTGAGCATCAAGCCTCGCCCGCTTCTCCTCGCGCGTCTCACCGAATGCCTCAGCCCTCTTACCAGTCTTCTTGGTACTCTGCATGAGCTCCACGGACACAGGAGTGCCAACGCGCGAACCGCCAACCGCAGGCGTAGGCAGCGAAGTATCAGTAAGAGCAGGCGGAGAAGTAACCTCATCATCAGCGTCGATCTCGTTCAGCCTCCGCTGCGCCTCTTCGCGCTCCTGCGACCAGATGTCATGCTGATCCTTATACTGCTTCTCCATATTCGCGAACCAGTCTTTCTGCTCCGCGCTCTCCTCGCCTGACTCGACGCAAGTGGGACATTTGATGTAGAAGCCACCGGTTGTGTGCTGCTCGCCCATGAGCTCGAATTCGGGGAGGGTGTCGCCGATTAGCTCGGTTTCGTCCCAGTCTAGACAGTCCTCGCAGAAGCCTTGTGGACACCAGCGGCAACGGAAGATGAGACCGCCGGCGTCGTTGGTGGTTTTGCCGCAGTCGGTGCAGTTGTGTTGGGAACAGTAGAAGCCGGCGAAGCCCTTCACTTTGGCTTTGTACTGGGAATCGAGACAGTCGTAATGGTAAGCACGGGGGCAGCTCTTGCACTCAATCAGGTGTCCAGCATCTGCGTCTTCGAAGCAGCCGAGACAGTGGTCTTCATGGGTGATTTCGCGGCGCTTCTCGCGGACTGGTTCAGCGAGGCGGGGATCTTTGCCTGCGAATGTTGGCACCGCTTCCCAGTCACCACAGTTCATGGACTCTTTGTTGATAGCGAAGCCGTCAACCATGACGGTAGTGTTCTTTCCCTTGCGGCGATCCTCGCGAGTGATGGTGTCTGGAAGGATGTTTGCGGCGGATGTGTTGGCCTTCCAGGTGGTGTCAAGCTGGCGTTGATGACGCTTGCCTTCGAACACGGCGCATTCAACTCTCTCCATGGTAGAAAGCCATTTGTCCTCATCGACTTCAGAGTGTGTCGCTGAGTCGGTCAAATCGGCAGGGGCATCGCGGCACTTCGACATCATAGTCTCCAGATCCCAAGATACCATCTCTTTGACATCGATTTCCGGATGCGATAGTGCCTGGGCGCCTCGCCGTACAAGCGTCTTGAGCTGCGTGGCATCCATCTGTGGCAAGTCTTCACTCAGAGACGGACGTCCGGCTTTCTTCGTATCGGCCATCTGCTTGCCATGCACGCTCTGCATCGACTCGGTGATCTTTGCCGAGAGGTAAAGCTTCTTGCGAATACGACCCATCATTTGCTCTTCGACAGTACCCTGGGTACAGAGCTTGTAGATAGTCACCTTCTTGGTTTGCCCAATGCGATGAGCTCGGGCCTCGGCCTGGAGTGTGATCTGCGGATTCCAGTCTTCGTCAAGGAAGATGACATCCTGAGCGCTCGTGAGGTTGATACCCAGGCCGCCAGCGCGGGTCGAGAGTAGCATGACCTTGTAATTGGAGTCTTTTTGGTTGAAAAGGCGGATATCCAAGTTACGCCGAGCTCGAGCTGTGCTACCGTCCAGACGAAGAGACTTGAAGCGCTCTCCGTGGTTGCTGATGAGAGACAAGAGATCTTCACAATAGTCGAGCGTGCGAGTGAAGCCAGAGAATATAAGGACCTTCTTGCCTTCGTTGAAAACCGTGTGCTTGAGAAGCTTCTCCAAAAGGATGAACTTGCCGGATGCGCGAATGATGTGGTCGCTGAGGTAGTAGGGATCGGGCGAGACACCGGGGAGTAAGTACGGATGCGAGCAGCACTTGCGTAACTGCATGACAAGGTTCATCAGCTTCTTCCAGGCGCCCTTGTTGGTGTCGGTGTCGGTCTGCTCCTTGGCGACGGCTTCTTGCAAGATTTTGGTGGTTTCCTCCCAATCAGCTTCGGCACCGCCAGCGCTGACCACCTTGTCCACTTTCTCCATCTTTGCCAATAGCTTGTTCTCTTCGATGTCTTGCTCGATAGCGGCCTTCTCTTTGGATTTGCCATCAGCAAAGAGCTCGTCGAGCATACCATCGTCCATACGTGTCAGCAGACGGGTGTACCAGAACTTCTGCATGGGAGTCAAAGGAACATATAGCAAGATTTCTTCCTTGGGCGGTAGGCCGAGGTTGACTGAAGGAGAGTCCTTCATACGTCGCAACATGATGAGTTCGAGCAAGCGGCGAGCGTCTGTCATGGTTTGCTTGTTCGCTTTGCCCTTGCTGAGATCGAAAGACTCCTTGAAAAGTGTCTCGGTCTTGTCATCGAAGACGTTAGGGTACAGCCATGTCAGAAGCGACCACATCTCGACCAAGTTGTTCTGAAGTGGTGTTCCAGTCAGGATGAGACGATACTCGGCACTGATGCTCTTGAGGGCTGTGGAGATCTGGGTGACACTGCTCTTGATCTTGTGTCCTTCATCCAAGACGACATAGCGCCAGGCGAAGCTGTGCTTGAACCATGATTGCTCAGCTTGGAAAGTCTCGTATGTCGTGACGACAATCTTATAGTTGTCGGATTGCTGATCGTTGGAGGTGAGCTTGGCCGCCTTTCGGCCAGCCTTGCGCGAGGCTTTCCGATCTTTCGCACGCGAGGTTTCATTGCCCTTCATGTCCTCCATGCCAGCTATGACGCGCTTCAAGCGGGTTCGCTCGGTGACGGCGCCGTGGAAGCGCATGACCTTGAGTTGTGGTACCCATCGCTGGGCCTCGGTGACCCACGAGTTGAGCACACTGAGGGGGCATATGACGAGATAAGGCCGAAGCTCTTCTGACGTGACACCGTTCTTCTCGTCCAGCTCTTCAAGATACTGGAACAGCGATAATGTCTGTAGCGTCTTTCCGAGACCCATCTCGTCGCCGAGTATACCAGAAAAACCGTTGTTGTAGAGATGGACCAAGTATGACAGACCAGATAGTTGGTATGGCTTCATTACAGCGGTGACGCCTTTGGGTTGCTCCGAGAGCTCTTCGTACTCGACAATGGGCTGCGCATCGCCCTGAGCGACAAGCTTCGCGACCTGGTTGTTCTTAGGCAGAAGTGGGAGGAAAAGGTCTTTGTTGGCGACGAGGAAGCTGTTCGCTCTCGCTTTGGTCTTCTTAGCAATGTCATCGCGGAGACGAGCACGAGCGGTGTCGAGGTTGGGCGGCGGCCGGGCTGACTTGCGACGAGGTGGTGACGGGGTGGGCATGGTGTCGGACTCCAGGATGGTGCTCTTCCTGTCGCGCGTGCTCCGGCGAAGTCCACCGGACTGTTGGCGCTCCTTCTTACGCTTCTCCATCTTCAGTTCCTCGGTGTAGGCCGAGATTCTGGCGCTTGTCTTGCGGTTCGGGCGAGCTGATGGGGCGAGTTCGTCTTCGCTGGTTCCCGCGTTGGCGCCAGCTCGTCTTGTGGAGGCGCGAGGGTACTTGTCGGCGACGGTCCTGGGCTTGTGGTCAGGCGTGGATGGCGAGGCTTCGTTTGCGGATGAGTCGGAGGCGACGTAGTTTGGCGTTGGCTGCGCGCGCAGGCTGCGTTTGTTGTCGCTAGTCTCGTCTTGCTTGGCCGCCTGCTGCGAAGAGATGCGTCGTCTCTTGGTGGCCGATTGGGCTGAGCTCTCGGAGCCAAACTGCGCCAGGAGGTCTTCGTAGATGCCACCTCGTTTCTTCGGAGTGATGGGCTGGGGCGAACCCAGGGTGATGACCGGATGTCCCGCCATGGCGACGAATGTGGGGTATCTTGTAGGCAAATGTTGCGCAGTGAATGTAAATTGGCCAGGGGTGTACAGTACAACGGAATTGACAGAGAAGTGTTGTCGCAGGGCAAAGAGGGACAAAGCACAGCAAGAAAAGTCTGAGACAAGGCCGGTGACGGTGAGGATGAAATGAAACGACGCAGCGTGCCCAAAGGAGCGTGATAAGACGACTGGGCGTCTTCACGGTGAAGTGAAGTGAAGCGTCGCCGCATCGCCAGGCGCGGAGGCGATACGTCGATTGCGGCCGACGCGTCCTAGCGCGACTTGCAGGCGTTCCTTCCGGAACCGTTCCGAGCTATCAAGTCTATCCAACGCCGCGACCTCCACACGTCGACATTTCGCGAACCAAGTCCCCACGCCCGCGCATCTGGCGCACCACCCTCGACCACCATGGCGCAACAGCCCATGACGCCCTTCTTCCCCATCTTCGCCTCCAAGTCGGATGGGCAGCACATCGTCAACCTCAAAGGCCGGCCGCTCAGAAATGGCCCGACCGAGGAACAGCTCAACACGTCGCCCAACGACCAGGGCCAGCGCGACTTCTACCGCCTCATCGAGAAGGAAGACCCCAAGCACCAGGACTGGCGCAAGAA